GAAATCAAAGTTGCAATTCTAATCGAAAGCTACACTGACACTGTTTTTTCATGTTTAATACTGTAAAGCTGCTTGATTTAAAGCAATCTGTTGTATAAAGTGCTATAAATAAATGTTACGTGACTTGATCTGGCTGGAGAGCTGAATTGCAGAGCTCATGCAAACATATTCACATCGCTATGATCAGATGCTTTCTTAACTGCTGGTTTCTGTCATTTTACATATTCATCTCAGGATGTTAGCTAACGGTATGATGCTGCTCAAGTGTTTCGAAACTTTATTTTACTACTTCTATATCAGGGCCTTTAGGGCTCCAAACCGGTATGTTCAATTAGTTAAATTTACCTACGAACTGTTCTTTGCTTATGTATGTAAATGCACACTGAAGCGCAACAGACAACTGTGAATTTGGTACTGATTGAACCAATGTTCTCTCAGGCTTGATGAATCCTACACCGTAAAGGTGGCAGACTTTGGAATGGCCCGAGATGTGCTGGAGAAGGAGTACTACAGCGTCCAGGACCATAGGAAAGCCAAATTACCCGTCAAATGGATGGCCATTGAGAGCCTGCAGACTCAGAAGTTCACGACCAAGTCAGATGTGGTGAGAAACATGGTTACTTTAACCACTGGATTACAATAAGGAGTCGTCATATGTTCTTCTTAACACTGTTATTCTGTCTTTTACTGTAGTGGTCTTTTGGGGTTCTAATGTGGGAGATGCTCACACGAGGAGCCAGTCCGTACCCTGAAGTTGACCCATATGACGTCACACATTACCTCCTGAAGGGCCGACGGCTGCCTCAGCCACAATATTGTCCAGATCCATTGTAAGATTCTCCATTTTTCTGCAATATATATTTATATTTATATATATTACTCTTCTCAGTTAAACAAAATGTGGAACAAAAGTAGAAAGTTTGGTTGGTTTACTGAAGCCAGTTCTGTTCTCTAGTAGGTTTCTCTTTCATTTGTTTTTGGAAATTGTTCCACAATGCAAGAGAGAGTGACATGGCCTTTTGGAAAGGCAATGGTTTTAAGTAGCTGTCAGTCAGTTTAGTGTTTTTCCACCATTTGAGGTTCAGAGGGTTTAAAGCTTACTCAGTATTCAAAGCAGTGGAAAAGGTCAACCGAAAGGTTATTGTGAATGTCCCTTCAATTATCCAACACCTCGAGCACTGCACCCAGAGAGTTAATCATCATTCACTTCCAGACAGAGGGAAATATTTAAAAACCAACATAGTTTTCAGTGTTCCCCAAGTGACACTGCAAAACTTTGTAAACCTTGAGAAACTTCCAGCAATCACTAACCAAACCTTTGTGTGGTTGTTGCTGTGAAAAATATACAAACTATGGTATCATGATATCACAGTTTTGTTGTTGTTGTTGTTTTGAACACTTATAATGATACATCCACATCACTTCTTTGTAAAGATTTGGAAACTGTAGAACACAGTAAAAGAGTGTAGTGACACAGAGTGTAGCAACAGGATGTGGAAACATGACCGGTGGTGAGGTTCAGCAGTGGAAACTGAATGTGTGTGACTGAAGTTCATATGCCTGACTGATGCCTGATTTGACTTTTCCCAACTGAGAGATGACTGACCATCACCTCTGTATCTGCAGATTCGCCATTATGTTACAGTGTTGGGACCCCGACCCTGAGAGGAGACCGACCTTCTCCACGCTAGTGTCCGCAGTGATGAGTATTCTGTCCAGCCTGGAGGGGGAGCACTACATCAGCCTGAAGGTCACATACGTCAATCTGGACCAGCCCCGCCCCTACCCTGCCCTAACAGACTCTGCTGATGAATACGATTCGTCAGATGCGGATGATGCAGGCTCAGTCTCTAGCTGATTGACCAACTGGTTCGATACTTGCGTTTTAGGCCTTGCTGACACAACAGTGTCTAGGTTTGAAACAGCATGCTAGAACACTATTTTAACAGTACCATTTTAAAGGAATCATTCACCCAAAGATGAAAATTTGCTGAAACTTTTCTTAGGCCATCCAAGATGTAGATGAGTTTATTTGATCAGATGTTTTAGATGAGACAAAACAGATGATAAAAACATCACAATAATCTACAAACACTTTAATTGTGGATTTGTTTATTACTAACACACAGCTTTTCGATTCACAAGACATTAATTGATGGATTGGAGTCGTGTGGATTACTTG